TGTTCTTTCTGCTGGCTCGCAGTGGTTAATCCGTCGCCATGTTCTTTCTGCTGGCTCGCCATGTTCTTTCTGCTGGCTCGCAGTGGTTAAGTGTACTGGTTAAGTGCGCGGACTTTAATCTGGGAGAACAGGGTTTGAGTCCCCACTCCTCCACTTGCACCTGCTGATGTGACCTTGGGTCAGTCACAAGCTCTGGCACAGCTGTCCTTGAAAAAGAGCCATTTCTGTCAGAGTTCTCTCAGCCCCACCCACCTCATAGGGTGTCTGTTGTGGGGAGGGGAAGGGAAAGGAGTTTGTAAGCCGCTCTGAGACTACAAGTGAAGGGCGGGGTATAAATCCAATCTCTTCTTCTTCTTCTTCTTCTTCTTCTTCTTCGTGGCTCACCACATTGCCCAGCCACCACTGCTGCCCTCCAGTATTGGAGGTAGGGTGCCCCCCCACTCCTAAGGAGTGGATACCCATTTGTCTAATTGCCATTTAGGGCTTTCGAGCCGCTGGGTTAGGACAAGGGCCGGGAGTTCACTCCGGCCGCGGTGGGACTCGAACAGCTGTTAAGGCTGTTCGGAGATAGATGACTTGCAGGCATTTACTGCCTGCGCCACCACTCCCATTCCCAGTAGTATTATGCGACCAACAACCTGACGCAACCCAGACCAACGTCGGCCATCATTGTATTCGTTGTACTGGCACTTTATACTTTATTACATTTAGGACTGTATTGTGATTTTATCAATCTTCTTGTTTTAGTGTTTTTATACAGTTTGTATAAAAGATTGGGAAAGATTGAAGGTCAAAGAAGACAGGGACAGCAAAGGATGAGCTGGTTAGACAGTGTCATAGATGCAACAAACATGAAATTGAGCCAACTTCAGAGGAAGACTGGAAGGCCTGGCGGGATCTGGTCCATGGGGTCGCGAAGAGTCGGACTCGACTGTGCGACGGAACAACAACAACAGTTTGTAAGCCGCCCTGAGAGTGCTTTGCAGGGAGGGTGAGATATAAGTAAAATAAATAAATAAATAAATGGTGGACCTGGCATGTGTGACTGAAACCTGGGTAAGAGAGGACATGACTGTCATCTTGAACCATCTCTGGGTCCCACAGATCCATCCAACTACCACCCAGTGTTGAATCTTTCATTCCTGGGCAAAGTAGTTGAGAAAGCAGTAGCTGAACAGCTCCAGGTATTCCTGGATGACACCTCAGTCCAATCTGGCTTCTGCCCTGGCTACGGGATCTGACACAGCTCTGGTTGTCCTCACAGACAACCTCCGGGATCAAGGCAGGTCAGCGCTGCTACTTCGTTTTGATCTTACAGCAGCATTTGACACAATTGATGACAATCTAATGACCCACCACCTCGCCAACATGGGGATTCATAGGGCAGCCTTGAAATGGCCTCCCAAATCCCAGATCCAAAACTGTTATAAATTTACTCTGTCTGAGAGATGTTCTTCTCCATTACTTGTGCAATGAAATAGGTGAAACTGTTATTGAACTCCATGTGAATTGGGCAGCTTTTCCATTGAAGTGCAATTTTTCATACATTATCAACTTTTAGACTCTTGGTTAGAAGAAGACGTTTGTCGAAACGGCATCGCATTCCGGAGACCACCATCCCGTCGTTGTCATCTTCTATCTACGTACCTGAATTTATAACCTGAATGTATCATTATTACTTTTGTACATTTCATATTTACAACTTTACGGTTTTCGTTAAAGAAATATTGAGCGCACTGTGCACAGTTCTTGTGGTTTCATTTTTGTAGCCAGGGTAGGGCAATTGGTTGCAACTCCTGTCCGGGAATGCTGACTCGCTCCAGTGATTATTTCCATTTCGAAGCCACTGATATCCCCTGACCCCTTTCTCCCCTTGTAGGGATAACTGCTCCTGAAGACCCCCTCTCAGACCACCGGAAGAAAGAGTTGGAGGAGAGGCGGGAATCCTATAAGTGAGTACTCATGCTTGAGGGCTCCAAAGAGTTTCCCCTAACTCCATGCTGGGGTCCTGCTAGGAGAGACAGGGCTCCTGGATTCAGCAACCAAACAACATGAAAATATTAGGGTGCAGATTTCCTAATGGTAATTATTGGCCTCTTCTGTGCAGGTGGAAGGAGTATGCCCCCGGAATGCCACACTGTCTGGATGTCAGCTCAACTCGTGAGCTGGAAACCAACTCCCGATTCTCTTTCACCAAATGCTATTTTCTTTTTTCGCGCCTCACAGTAACGTAAGTTGTGCAAAGAAAGGGCAAATGTGGTTAAGGCAAGGAAAGGTGGTACCATGGCCGAACCCATTACCGTGATTATGGCAGAGCCAGGTACCACCCACATTCTCTGTGGAGTCAGGCAGCTGGGGGAGAGTCCAGGAACATCTTCGAGATAGGAATTTCAGGAATTGAGCTTTCAAGACTCAAAGAGGCTGATGAAGGGAGTTTTGACTCTCAAACGTTTGTACCCTGAAAATCTTGTTGGCTTCTAAGAGTCACCTGGACTCTTATCTAGCAGAGGGTAACCCTCTAAAACCGTGTTCAGTGGGAAAGGAGTAGGAGTTTGGGTTTTTTTTCCTGCTTGACCATTTTCGGTGGGCAAGGTTTATTAGTTTTTTAAAGAGTTATATAAAACAAAAAGAGAGAGAGCCATACACTTCAAAGGTATCCCGCCAGAAAAGGAGTAGGAGTTATCCCAGCATGAGGGTTAGTTTACTCTCTAAGCACTTCCTTCACTGTGGAAGCAGAAAGTATTATGTACAGGATTCCCCTTCCTCAGAGAAAAAGCTGAGATCATTCCTTTTAATCTTGAATGTTCACCTCCCTCTACCTTTTGCATCTCATTTTAAGAAAGAGATGGCCAGGGTCCGGCATACCTAAGGGACTGCCTTTCCCCATATGTTCCCCCAAGGGCCCTAAGGTTGGGGGCTCTTCATCTTTTGGTTACCCCGGGCCCCAGAGATGTCAAATTCGTGGCAACCAGGGCCAAGGCCTTTTCGGTGGCGGCTCCTACCTGGTGGAATGAGCTCCCGGAGGAGATCTGGGCCCTGCGGGACCTTGCGCAGTTCCGCAGGGCCTGCAAGACGGAGCTCTTCCACCAGGCCTTTGAGTAGGAGCCGCCGCCGCCACTAGACCACCAGCGCACTGCCACCATAAAGGTGTGGATACCATCAGGGTGCTAGACAGACCTGGGATGAAGACTGGATGGCAGTGTCGCTTTGGAACTTACATCATTGTTCTGGGTCTATCTTGCCAGAACCCATCTTGGAATCATGGACATTTGGAGCACCAGCACTTTACTGTATTATTGTATTATTGTACTGTTTTATCTCGTTTTTAATTGTTTTTAAGCATGGCCTCGAGCCCTTATTGTTAGCCGCCCTGAGCCTGAGGGGAGGGCGGGATATAAATCACATAATAAATAAAATAAAATAAAATAAATAGTCTAGCTGCTAAGCATATTCTTAAACCTCATAAATTTCATAGCCTCCCAAATTAAAACCAACCCCCTGTCCGGACCCACAGTCAATCACTTAGCACACACTTCCAAGAAGGTTTTACTTTATTGTGAGAACTATGGTAGCATAAACATATTCACTGTTAAGAATAACTAATATTAAGCCAACAGGTATAGATATAGTATACTCAAAAAGGGGGCCCCCATCGATAGGCCAATTAGGCACTCTCCCGTGGGTGGGAAAACCCGTTGGTGGGTTGGGGAAGAAGCAAAAGTGGTCCCACGGTTGAAATATGGGAAGACACTACATGAGGGAGTGAGCTACAAGGTCAGAGATAAGGAGCAGAGGAGCCAAGGAGAAATGAATGCAGGCCTGGCTGGTACACAGGTCGAGCGAGTGAACTGAAACCCATAAACCTAATGGCAGCGTAGCTGACACCTCCACCCCCACCCCAGTATACAAAAAATTACTAGTTGCACATCATAACAAACTCTGGAAAATTCTGGCACTTTAAAGACTAACAGATTTTATTGTGGCAGAAAGTTTCATGAACTACAATCCACATCATCAGATGCATGAAGTGGATCCTCACTTGGTTCTAGGTGGACGGGCGAGCTCATGCAGGGAAACGAGGCGGGCACCTAGGGCTTGAACTGATGCCAAATGAGAGAGAGGTGAATTTCATTTTTTTCCTTTTTCAAGGTTATGAAAGGAAGTGTCAGATATTGTCCTTGTAAAAACACAGCAGAAGAAGATATGTCTGCCGGGTCAGAAGCTGAGTTATAAATAAAGATTAAAAAATTCATTCTAGACTTCCCATTTTTTCTCAAGATTGAAAAAGGGCACCAAAGTTATAGTTTGCCTAGGGCCCCCAAGAACCTTGAGAGAGAGAAAGTGGTGCAGGGAGGTCAAAAGGCATATAAAGCCAGAGGTCGAGGCTCTGACATTTCTATACAAAACTCACAGGCTCAGAAGGTAAGCACAGTGGTCATTCACTACAGCAGTATTGGTGGTCGCATGGCCTTTTGCTAAATTGGTAAATGCTTCCAGTGGGTGAGCATTATCTGGTTTTTATTGAAGACTTAGCGGGGAAAGAAAATCAAATTCCTTGATGTAGCCTAACTGAGCCCAGCTTCGATCTGGAGGTCTTTTATTGAGGAATGATGATTTGCAGGCTGGTAGCAGAATGTCTGGGGAGGGTGAAATATGCTCCCCCGCCATTTGTGATATCAGATTGGTGCTCTGTGCCTGCCCTGGCGGGGGAGGGCACAATATAGAATAAATAAATAAATAAATAAATAAATAAGCTTTGGTTCATGGCTGACCTGTTTGTAGAAAGGCACCGTAGATCGCGTTGGAGGATCGGCCCATTAACGACCCCTTGACTGGTGCTATTAGGTTCTCTTCTAATGTGAGTAAGATGCAGGGAGGGGGGGAAAAAACTTGACCCAAAAATGGAATCAAAGAAAGAAGTCTTGATAAGGGGCCAATAGGAAAACACGAAAAAAGGAAAAAAATGTAGAAATCTTGTTTGAAAGTTTGTATGATTGTTTCATGGACTTATTTCAAAATGTTTCATCTTCTCATCTGTATTTGTGTATTTTTAATAAAACAAAAATTATATATATCCTGAGATCCTCAAGGTGCATGCTAGCCATGAGGTCGTCCACATGCCCAGAATGCAGCATCATTTCAGGGAGGAGGGAGACCTCATTGTACTGCTAAAAAGTACTGTGCCTCCTCAGCAGCATTTTCAGTGACGAAGCGACTGAACGCATGCCCATGAATTTATAAAGGAACGATGGCCCCTACCACATGGGGGGGAATAGCACGGGCAAAGTGCGGCTTTCTAAAGCCGCACCAAAAGAGACACGCGGCGGCAGGCTCACATAGATCCCCTGAGCCGCCGCGCACTTCCTCCCCGGCACGATCAGATGCCGGGGGGGAAGCCACCGAAGAAAGAGCACGACAGCCGAACTGCGCATGTGTGCGCATGCGCAGTACGGTGGGGAGCCTGGATTGATCCGGACGATGGGCGCGGCGGCGATCCCACGGCCTCGCTTGCAGCGGTGCTTCAGGTAAGTCCTCCTGGAGCAAGAAGCAGCCAGGTAAGTTGCAGAGCCCCCCCCCCGGGCCCACCTTCAGGTACCAGCTCTCCCTCCTCTGCGAGGACAGATCTGCACGTTGCCCCCCCCCCAATAGCTAGCAATCCAAAACAGTCCAGTGGAGCCTGAGCGGTGGGTGTTGCCTTCTGACACACTCCCGGTGATGTCAGGGGGTGTGGCATACGCAAATAAGTTTTGCTAATGAGTTATGCTAATGAGCTCCTGCCCCTCTTTTTGTACGAAATGACCCCTGGTACTGGCCGATGCTTATATGTCCACTGTGGAGCTGCACGGCGATGTCTCCTCTGTGGATCTGGCCCATGGTGGAGGATGGCTTTCCAACTACAGTGGTGATCAGTGTTCCCTCTAAGCTGAGTGAGTGTGAGCTAGCTCACAGTTTTTTAGCCTCCAGCTCACAAATTTTGTCTTTGCTCAGGAAGGAGGGCTCCAGAGCAAACTAATTTATGCAGCAGCCAAATGGCTCGCTCACAACTTTGAATGCCAGTAGCTCACAAAGTAGAATTTTTGCTCACAAGACTCCACAGCTTAGAGGGAACGTGAGGGAAGGGCTTGGGACATCCTCCTTGGCCCAAAAACCATTTTGCTTTCCCGCTCCTTCTCGGCTTCTTTAGGGCGGTGGAGCAGAGACTGAAGGGATACTCGACCAGCAAGAAGTCTTGGGAATCCCTGGATGCCATCAAGAAGGTCTTCTCTTTCAAGAGGGATGACATGATAGGTAAGAGGGCGGCTCCGTTAGAAGGACAGGGGCAGCAGCGCCCGGTCGTGGCTGCACCTCCAGGCTCAGTTACATCTGGATCACGCTAGAGCTGGAGGTCTGTCTTGAGAAAGCACAACTGGTTCTGTGCCGCTTGCTGTTGTATTTGAAAAGCCCGCTCAATCGCGTCTAGTTCTAAGCCGATCTGCTGACCTATATTTTAACATAAGAACATAAGAGACGCCAATGCTGGATCAGGCCAGTGGCCCATCCAGTCCAACACTCTGTGTCACACAGTGGCCAGAAATACCAGGAGCCATCAGGAGATCCACCAGTGGGGCCAGGACATTAGAAGCCCTCCCACTGTTGATCCCCCCTAGCACCAAGATGACAGAGCATCCCTTGCCCCAGAGCCCCTATCGATACCTTGTGGCTAATAGCCACGGATGGACCTCTGCTCCATATGCTTATCTAATTCCCTCTTGAAGCCGTCCACTTCCTGTGGCAGTGAATCCCACGTGTTAATCACGCTTTGGGTGAAGGAGATTTTATGTATTATCTATTTGTTGTTACTTTATTTTAATGTGTTTTAATACTTTTTTTGTATTTATTCTAGCTATTTTATTTTATTTATATTTATTTATATTTAAATTTATATCCCGCCCTACCCCGAAGGCTCAGGGCGGCTTACAAGGGCACCATGTGCCAAGATTAAAACAATAATACATAATTAAAAACAATAGATTACAATAAAACACAATAAAACTTTCCAAAAACTATTAGACCAAGATGGATGGCTCTCACTTCCACAATTACTTTCTCAGGTCTTATCATCTAAAGCCGTGCCAAGGCGCCTCGCTCCCACATTGGGGGCCAGGCATTCATGATGTTCATACGCAGTGCATAGGGGATGAAGATGGAATAATGGTGGTGGCGGCTCCTACTCAAAGGCCTGGCAGAAGAGCTCCATCTTGCAGGCCCTGTGGAACTGAGAGAGGTCCCGCAGGGCCCGAATCTCTTCCGGAAGCTCTTTCCACCAGGTAGGAGCCACCACCAAAAATGCCCTGGTCCTGGTTGCCACAAATTTAACGTCTCTCGGGCCTGGAATTTCCAGTAGGTGACACCCCCCCGACCGAAGTGCCCTTGGGGGAACATATGGAGAAGGGCAGTCCCTCAGGTAGGCTGGACCCTGGCCATAAAGGTCAAAACCAGCGCTTTGAAGCGAATCCGGTACGCTATCGGCAGCCAGTGCAGCGCTTTCAGCACAGGCCGAATGTGGTCCCTCATCGAGAGACCCATCAGTAGCCTGACCGCAGCATTCTGCACTAGCTGCAGCTTCCGGATTTGTGACAAAGGCAGCCCCATGTAGACAGCGTACAGTTGTCCAGCCTTGAGGTGACCGTCGCATGGATCACCGTGGCCAGGTCCTCACGGCTAAGGTAGGGGACCAACTGCCGAGCCAGCCTGAGATGGTAGAAGGCTGCCCTGGCAGTGGCTGCTACCTGGGCCTCCATCGTTAAAGAGGAGTCCAGGTGCACCCCCAGACTCCTAACCTCTGTCGATGGCACCAGAGGCACCCCATCAAAGGTCGGGAGAGGGAGCCCCAACCCTACACCGGTCCGACTCAGGCCCAGGACCTCTGTCTTTGCCGGGTTTAATTTCAACCGGCTCAGCCTGAGCCAACCAGCCACAGCTTGTAACGCCCGGTGCAGGTCATTGGGAGTAGAGCCCAACCGGCCGCCTAGCATCAGATAGAGCTGGGTGTCATCAGCATATTGATGGCAACCCAGCCCACAACTCCGGGCAATCTGGGCAAGGGGGCGCATGTAGATTTTATTGCTGTAGTCAGTATGTTTTCTAACAGCAGTGTGATTCCGTTGATTTACTGGTTTGATGCCGTAATAAACTATACATACAACTGCTTTCCAACTCATCCTTCCTCACTAATAGGAAACTCACTGAGAGCAAAGCCTGGGGATCCGCTCTGCGCCTCTCCGTCTTACAACCTACTCAAAATCACTTTGATCCCTACTGAATCCAGAAGTCTTCATCCCCTGCCCACTTAACACTGATCAATAGATTCCTCTGCCCCACATCCCACAAATGGATTCTGCCCAGTTGAATCCGCCATTGCTCCTGTGTGTCTTCCAGAGTACATCATAGAACACTGGAAGGAAGACGCATTCTTTGGCTACCAGTTCCTGAATGGGCTGAATCCAAACTTCATACGGAAATGCACAGAGATCCCACCTAATTTCCCCGTTACCGAAGCTATGGTGGCCAGTTCCCTGGGCAAGGGCACCACTCTAATGGAAGAGCTGGAGGTAAGAAATTTGGGGTTGCAGTGTGTGTGGATGTGTGTATTCTGGATAGATGTATCTTTGCACGGCAGGATTGCCCCGGTGGCACTCTTAGAAATGCACGCAAGGGGGTACAGCTCAAATAGCCAACAACAAATAACCAATAAGCGCTTATAATCTTACAAAGTTACAGAAATTCATAAATTCAAAATATATAATACAATGTTTCATGTGATTCCAGATGGATGAAATTCTCCAGAGTTAAACTTCGTCCAAACATCAAAATCTCAGAAACTGAACTTGATATTGACCTTGTTCGCCTGTTATTTGGAAAGACTTTATCTTGCAAGAATGTGTTCTACCCTTCAGGAAATTTATGAATTGTACTGGATTTAACCATGGAATGAGAAGAGACAATTTCTGAGATTTTGATGCTTGGAAGAGTAGGGATGAGAAGGGAGCAACCTCACAGGACAATGCTCTAATTCTTCAGCAGAGTCTGGGATGAGCAGAGCGACCAAAATTTTGCAAGACTGTGTGGGTTTTATGCAGGACTTTATACATTTATTTCTTAATTGTTTTATTCTCTTTTGCTGCCTTGGGAATTTGATGGGAAGGAGGGATGCAAATATTTCTGACAAATAAAATCAGGATCATAGTTCTAAAAGCTGGGGCCTATTCCCACCCCCACCTGTAAGTTTCCCCTTCCACCCATCTCCCCTGCAGAAAGGGACCATCTACATTGCCAACTACCACATTCTGGATGGGATCACCGCTGGCCGGAATAACAAGCTCCAGCAGTACATTGCGGCCCCCATCTGCCTGCTGCACCTCACACATCAAGGGCAGCTTATGCCTCTCGCCATCCAGGTAACGGGCTAGAACTATTTGAGACTGTTGTGGGCCCTGGTTTGGGAGCTCATTCAGTGGTGTGACAGGGACAGGCTCTGCATGGCTGTGGGTGATCTTTCAGAAGGGTCTGAGGCCATAAAACATGGGAAAGACAGATGGCATGAACCTCCACTGGAGGAAACTGCTTTGCGACCGTCACCAAATTTTCTGAGTTCTTTAAGAAACTGAAGAAGCATGTAGACGCCAAATTGGCCACCACTGTCTGTCATTTCCCTTCCACAGCAGTCTATACAGAGGTGTGCGTGTGCAGGAAAGAGCTACTTTGCGGAGGCCTGGCAAAACAGCCACTTTGCTACAAGGGCCTGTGATTCAGAGGAGCTGGAGAGGAGAGGGCGGGTTGCATTCCTTGTGATGTAGCTGGTGTCATGTTCGACGGCTGCTTGGGAGAGCCTCAGATTGGCTGCACATGGGAAAGAAGGCTGCCGACAGGGCAAGCGCGCACAAAATAGACCTGAAAATCCAGAACACGAAAACATGGCACGAATTCCCAACACGAACTGGTAATACCCTACTGGGAGGAAAGCAATTGTGGTAGAAATCCCCCCCCCTCCAAAGCACAGATCTGAAAGAGTAACAATTTTTTTTTCTCGGTGCACACTCCTACCTTTCATCCAAATAAATGTTTTGTTGCTGTTGTTGCCATGATTTTGCCAAGATTCCATGTTGGCTGCCTCCTCTTCCCACAGCTCAGCCAGAACCCAGGACCCGAGGCTCCCATCTTCCTGCCCAGTGACTCTGAATGGGACTGGATCCTGGCCAAGACCTGGGTGCGCAACTCCCACTTCTATGTGCACGAGGCCGTGGACCACCTGCTCCGGACACACCTGCTGGCAGAAGTCTTCGCCCTGGCGACCATCCGCCACTTGCCCATGTGCCACCCGCTCTACAAGGTGAGGCTGAGGCAAGGGAGGGATTGTGCTTCTAACCTCAATGAGGACAAAATACAGAGCGGGCAACATCAGCAGAGAGGTCTGTAATGTATCCATCTCAGACCGCGTGCGTGGCCAATACACCATGTGAAGCGGCCAAGCTTCACTCGCAGTAACAATGGGACAAGCGGATCCTAGCCGGCGCCTATCAGCAGCCTAGGCTCCCGGACGAGAGCCTATGGAACTCTCGGCCACTGTAAATAGCCAATCACTTGAGTGTGGGTGTGTTTTGGGTGCGGGATTGTTGCACATATAAACCGGCCTGTGAGCTGGTAAGTTTGTCTTGTTCTGAGCTGAAATAAAGTATGAGAGCTGAAACCGCTAGTAAGTCTCAGTACTTTTCAAGGTCCCAGTGCATTGGTGAGATCTTCTGGGGGTGGTAGAATCCATAGCGATGTCTAACTTATCCAGTTTAATCAGAACAGAAACACAGTCATAGCAGTTGAAATGCTAGTCATTCCCTTGCAAGAAATGGATGGCTTAGTTTTAGAGAGGGTTTCTTAAAGCAAGTTACTAACCAGAGTGCTAAGAAGTCCCCCCTGGGGACACACCAAGGAGTTCATTGATGATCTAGCGTTGCTTTGATTCATTTAGCTCAGCTGAAACTACAAAGATCCACTCCTCTGGGTGCTCTGCTTATCACAGTAATAGTGTTACAGATCCTGTACTTCTCACATTTCATGGCACTGTAGACCTTGCGGCTTGCAGATGTTCTCTTCACAACCTTCTATATGTCCGTCTACCTACTGAGGACCTAGGGAAGAGAGTGTGGCTCAGTGGTAGAGCATCTGTTTGGCCTCCAGATGGCCCCAGGTTCACAGATGTTATTTGGCAGAGAATTCCACCAGGCAGGGTGAACCCAATTCAGAGAAAAGGCAGGGAATATTGCCCTCACTCTGAATGGATATTGGAGAGGGAGCCTTCTTTGCTACCCACCTCCCCCCACACACACAAAAACCCAGACTCTTTAGCTGCTTAAAAACGATATATGATTTTATAAATCAAGTGTAAATACAAATTAATTAACACAGTTCTCTCATTTTGACATCTGCCCTTCTTCCAGCTCTTAATCCCTCACATCCGCTATACCTTTAACATCAACACCTTGGCCCGGGAAACCCTCATCAGTAAAGACGGTGTCTTTGATATGGTGAGTTATACATACCCTCTTGGCACAAACTGGCAACCTGGCTGATCAAGGACTTGTCAGAGGGTGATCTGAAGGCTCTTGAGGAACTGAAGCAGGTCTGCTTCACGTTATGGGAGTCTCTATACACCCTCTTGGCTTGCCCTGGTGGAAGGAAGGCAAGATAGAGATGGAGTAAGCAATAAAGAAATAAATTGATTAAAAATCCCTTGCAATTTAATGACATAATGACCTTTATCTGTCTGTTGCTCCGGGCTCTGTAATAACCAGGACTAACAGCAGCCATTGGTGGATCTGGTGTGAGGTCATGGAATATTCCCAAACATTCCCTATAGATTCTCACTCGACAAATTAAACACATGCGCCAGATGCAGTGTCCTATGTGATATATGTTAACGCTCAAGCTTGAACAGCTGATCATTTAGAAAGGTCCCTCGATGCCCCTTTTGAGAGTTCAGGTCTTCCACTAGTCCATCAGAGTAAGCTTTGTAAAATATGAGCGGCCAGGTGCAAGAAATGGCTCTTGTGTAAGGTGCATTTCCCATTTCTCCCTTTTCTCCAGGCAACTGGTCTTGGGTATGAGGGCTTGAACCAGCTTTGCAAAAGAGGCCTAGAAGCCCTGACCTATTCCTCGCTTTGCCTCCCAGAAGATTTAGAGGAGCACGATGTGTGTTCGTTGCCCAATTACCACTACAGGGATGATGGCCTGGAGCTCTGGGCAGCCATAGAGAGGTCAGGAAGGATCCATTTGGGGGAGGGATCCATTTGGGGGAGGGGATAAGAGAAGGGTGTTCTCCACCTCTTTCCTGAGGTGCAGACGATTTCAGAAGCACCTCTCCCTCGACTCTCCAGACCCAGAAACCAGGAAGCTCCATATCCACAGAGGTTAAAAGGAAAACTAGCACGTGTGAGAGCACACTGGGTAGAACCTTTATCTCTGATGCATTGATTTTCTGCTTTCAGGAAGGTCCCTTTTTGAACATAGGTGTGCATTCTGAAACGGCATTGTGAATTGGTACAGTACAGTCCCCTAGGCAGGGGTCATTTCTTAGAAAAAGAGGTGCAGGAGCTCATTAGCATAACTCATTAGCATAACTTATTTGCATAGGCCACACCCCTTGAGATCACCGGAAGTGTGTCAGAAGGCAACACCCACCGCTCAGGCTCCACTGGACTGTTTTGGATTGCTAGCTATTGGGGGGGGGGATGCGCAGATCTGTCCTCGCAGAGGAGGGAGAGCTTGTACAGGAATAAAACTTGGTCTTAAAGGTGCCACTGGACTGTTTTGGGCCAGGGGGCCGGGGTCCTCTGCAACTTACCTGGCTAGTTCTTGCTCTGACTGAGGGCTGCTGGGAGCAGGGAGTGGGGCTTGTTGCATGTGCCCGCCCCCTGGGCTCTTTACTGCCGGAGCTCCGCTCCTGTGCGTTCCTGCAGGAAATGACCCCTGCCCCTAGGACTCTCTCATGTTGTTCTTCTCTCTCTCTCTCTCTCTCTCTCTCTCTCTCTCTCTCTCTCTCTCTCTCTCTCTCTCTCTAGATCTATCTCTCTCTCTCTATCTCTCTCTCTATCTCTCTCTCTTTTAATCTAGAGAGCCATGTTTTTTTCCTAGATTCGATTTAGAGACAAGGGGCGATTCTTCATTGACTTGTCCCTCCATTGTTATACCAAACCCACGATGGAACAGAACTTCCCCTCTGCATTGCATGCTGCTGTCACTTTCTTTGATTATTGGATTTTATGGTATCCTGTACACTGCATGCCGCTTTCACTTTCTCTGATTATTGAGTTTTATGGTACCTTCTGCATAGATTAATGGCTGTTCAGGGGTGACATTGCAGTCAGTACGGCGTTGCCCCAGAGTATTTGAATATGGTTTTGAGCTGCACCTTTTCTGTTCCAATGTGGGTTCGGTAAAACAACGGAGGGGAAAGCCAATACAGAATCAGCCACTCCCAGAGGCAATTCAGAGAGAAAACTTTCCTCTGCTCAGGCCTCTCCTTCAGACTCCAAAGCTCCAGACTACCCCCACGCCGATAGAACTCGATATTCTGGCTCATGCTGAATCCTTTGGGCAACCCCACTCGTTGTCCCACCCTGTGTCAGAGGGATCTTTCTGGGATACCGTGCGGAGGGGGACTCTCTTGGGAGACCAGCTGTGCCCCAGCTCTGCAAAACTGACTCGCTTTCTGCTTCTCTCTTTCCTCCTTCAGTTTTGTCTCCGATATTGTTGACTTCTACTATTCAAGGGATGAATCTGTGCGGGAAGATTATGAACTGCAGGGATGGATAAAAGACATCTTTACGGAAGGTTTCCTGAGTCGAAAGTCTTCTGGTAAATGTCCTCTCCCCTCCATCATTGGGATCCCCCATAGCTAAGCACATCATGCCATTCAGTACTTTTTCATGCTGTTCAGTGAACTCCACCTCACTCAGAAAGATGTTCAAAGCACGTTTTGGCTCAGTATCCAAGCTCCATAGCTTGGAAATGAGAAAGAAATACAGATCTCAAAGTAGTCATGGGACATGACTTGGAAACCTCGGGTGTTTGTTCTCTTTACAGGAATCCCATCCTCATTCAATACAATAGTGGAGCTCAAGAAGTTTCTGACAATGGTGATTTTTACTGTTACTGCTCAGCATGCTGCCATCAATAGTGGGCAGGTAGGAGCAACTCTTCTCTTGTCCCCCCTGCCTCTGCTTTTGCAGGAGATCCCAGCCAATCAGAGTCCATGTAGAGAATAAAATGATGCGGCTCTGATAAGATCTGGCTCTGTGAGAATGTCGCTAAAGACAAGCGCAGCCAGTTGAGAGTGAGGGCGATTCTTGCTGGGTCAGAGTTGCCATCCATCGGAACTGACTTTGGATTCGCTCAGTAATGCCATCCTACAAGACAACCTTCTTGGGTCAACATTCTTTTCACTCAGAATGGGCTTACCCTTTTACCCTTTATCACAGCCTCCCCTCCTCCTCAAATCACAGAAAGACACGTCTACTTTTCAACTAACCATGACATTTTTATGTAAATCACCCCTCTGTCACCCTATATTTGGGACTGGGAGGAGGGAAGGAAGCATGGTATACCCCGATCTCAGAAGCTATTTGTCTGTTTATCAAATTAGATTTTAAACTGCCCTCCCCTGCCAAGGCAAGGCTCAAGCTGGTGTACAACACAATAACATCGTACAATCCATAAAAAGACTTAGAAACAATAAAACAATAGTTCCCTAAAAAGATGATGCTAAGAATGACCCTGACTCTGGTTGAAGACAGCTGGACATCCCTTGGGCAGGGGACCACCAGTAGATTTTGATCATCTGAGCACAACACTCTTCTAGGGGGTATATCGGGAGAGGTGGGTCCCACAGATACATGGCTACCAGACTGTTAAGGGCCTTAAAGGTCAACACCAGAATCTTGAATCTCATCAGGTACTCCACCAGAAGCCAGTGTAGCTCGCTCAGTGCAGGATGGATATCTACTCCCATGCCACTGCATTCTGCCAGTTGGAGTTTCCAGGTCAGCCCCAAGGGTAGAACCGTGTAGAGCGAGTTACAGTAGTCTAATATGGAAGTGACTGTTGCGTGGATTACTGTAGCTAGGTCAGGACAAGACAGATAGGGGGCCAATTGACTGACCTCCGTTATTAAGGAGGGATCCAGGATCACACCCAAACTCCTAATGGTAGGTGCCAGTCCTAGAGGCACACTGTCAACAGCTGGGAGCTGGCACCCCAACCCTGAGTCTCCATGGCCCAGCCGCAGGACCTCCATCTTAGAGGGATTCAGTTTCAGTAGGCTCTGCTTCAACCATCCCACAACATCCTCCAACCCCTCAGCCAAATATGCCAGGGTGGTGTCTGGCTGGCTGCCAATCAACAAATAAAGCTGGGTATCATCAGCTAAGCAGAGTTGGTACTTGGACAGGAGACCACCAAGGAAGGCTATCTTGGCTTCTCACTTGCCTCCAGAGCCCCTTGCTGGGGTGGCCATAAGTTGGTTGCAACTTGATGACACTAATATATATCTAGGTCTAGGAACAATCAGGATATTTGTTATCCTAAGGATAATATATGTGTAGATTTGGGAACAATTAGGATATCAATGATGTTACCCGCCCTGAGCCCGCCCGTGGGATGGGCGAGATATAAATATGCAAATAATAAATAAATAAATAAAATTAATAACAAGTGGTTGGCCCCAATATATGGGATGTGGGTACCTACTGGGTTTTGGCTACAAACATGGGTGGACCCCTTAGTATACGAACGCAATTCAAAGATAAGAAATAGTGTTGTTTATGTTAGTTTTTCACATCCATACGAAATAAATAGGAATCTGTAAATCTGTATAATTGCAGAATTCTGTAGGAAGAAAATATTTGTGTTTAGGATGAAGAATTCCTTCTGGCTCTTTACTTATGTGGGTGAGAGGGGGGTTACTATAGACCATGGAGGGGGGATAATGTTTGGTTTTTGATCACAGTATGGACATGGTGCCTGGATGCCCAACTTCCCCTCCTCCATGAGGAAGCCCCCACCTCGATCCAAAGGCACATCATGCTTGGAAGACTACCTGGACACTCTGCCCGCCATCAACACCACTTGCACGATCATTGGCACACTCTATGTGCTTAGTGCCCCAACAGGAGACTCGGTGAGTGATTCGAACTACAGAGGCCCAGGGAATGGGTGGCAAAACTGGTGCTGGCAGGGCAGAGATGTTTCCCCTGGGAGATTACAGCAGGCCTTCCACTCACTGTGCTGTATCACCATCCAAGCTGATGAGAAGGGTGGTATCGCTGCTGAAACTGGTGGCCCCGTTTGAGAGGATATACCCCCCCCCCCGCAAAAATAGAATTGTTGTAGTGCTATGGTGGCCCCTGCAGCTGGAATGCCACAGCTTGGACTTGAACTCTGACTCCCCCAGAAGATCTTTAGCTACTTGCAGTGTTCAACTTTTACCTGCCTGATTGTAAAGGGAATTCCAAAAACAACATCCGTGACAAAAATACTGAAAAGTCAACAAAGATAATAAAGACACGCTAACAAATATTGCGCAATGAAAACAATTCGTTTCATAATATTTGCTTTATCTGAGCGTGAGGCAATCCCAGTTCTTATCAATTACTACTTATCAACTCTTGAAGGAAGTATCCCCTGTTGACTCTCTAATAACAGAACCCAAGGTCTTCACAATGGGAATTCTTTTCATTGCGCAGTATTCGTTAGCGTGTGAGCAATAGTAGAAGAAAATTTTCTACAGATTTACTACAGTAAACGTTTTAGCAACTTAACTTTATTGACTCTTCAGCATTTTTGTCATGGATGTTGTTTTTGGAATTCCACTTCCTCCCGTGATCTCTCATTTTTGGCTTCTGCTTGTAAAGGGAGGCATGCTATTGATATAAGACTGCGGGACCAGACAAAGCAATCTCTGGAGCAATGCTGTGTCTGATGTACTTGGAGTAACTGCTTGGAGTGGCTGCCACAGTGGCAGTGCCACTTCCCAGTCCAGGCACTGGAGGCCACAGGAATAGGTGGTCAACCAGGCATGAACATATTTGCATAGGATAGGTGCTGTGATGAAGCTTAGTGGTTGAGACAGACAGCCGGAGGTAGGGTTGCCAAACCTGTTTCTCCTTGCGGCGGGGGGCTCCCGAACGGCGTCCCGAGCGCGCGCGCACCACATGCACATCAGCCGGATGTGACGTGATGACGCCGGGCACGCTGGGGGCGGGGCCACAGCCATTTGAGGGGAAAACTCTATGTTTTCCCCTCAAATGGCTGTGGCCCCGCCCCCAGGGTGCCCAACGTCATCACGTCACATCCGGCTGACGTGCACGCCGGGGTGGGGTTTCCCCCAGGGCCCGATTCCGCAGCGGTGGAAATCAGGCCTCCAAAGCGGGGGGAAATCCGCCCCCCGGGGGGATTTGGCAGCCCTAGCCGGGGGGAAAGCCTCTTGTTTAGAAATAGAAGATGGTTTGGGCCCTGGAGTTGCCTGGCTTTCCATAGTGTTTTGGAAAGAGAGTGATATGTCAAGGGCTGGTGTTCAGGTTGCCAACCTCCAGGCTGGGGGAGTTGTAGTTTTCCCAGAATTACAGCAGATCTCCAGAGATCAATTCCCCTGGAGAAAGGGGCAGCTTTGAAGGGTGGAATGTATGGCGCCACAGCCCCGTTGAGCTCCCTCCCCACCCAAAACTCCACCCTCCTCAAGCTCTGCCCCAAATCACTGGGCATTTCCCATCCCGGAGTTGCCACCCATACCTCATGTAAGTTGTTTGGCTGGATGGGTGCTAGAGATCATGTTCCTTACAGGGGTGATGAAATCTACTCTGCAGCTCACTGTCCTTCCATCAACACATGTTATGTCTTGCTTTTGTTAACAGGTAGCTCTGGGGAATTACCCCAATGAGTACTTCACAGAGAAGGAGCCACAACAGTTCATCCAAGACTTCCAGGACCGCTTGAACGAGATCTCCAGGAAAATTGAGAAGAGGAACTGGTCTCTTCCCATTGGCTACCATCATCTGAACCCTCCTGAGATAGAGAACAGTGTCTCCATCTGAGTAGGCTCAGTCTGGAAGGTGGCCTTGCAAGGCTATTGTCAGGACCCACAGCTAAACAACGAAGTACACGCTTCCAGGAAGGTTTTACTTTTATTGAAAAGCCATAGATGCAATAACATGAATACTGTTAGGAATGGCAGGATACCTATGTGCATAATAGGATATAGGGCATTCGTATGCGCCCCCCCCCAGCAATAACCAATTAGGTGTGCTCCCGCGTGCGGGATACTGTTGGACTCTCTAACGGTTGCGAAGCTGGGAACAGAGAAGCTCCCACGGACGATAGACACCACATTCTCCACCAGTACAACATCAAAGATAAGCGTTACAGCTCTGAAGCAATTACGCGCATGGGAAGGAATGCAAAGCAATTAGAAATCATCTCCATACTCATGGCAGCATAGCTGACAGCTATGAGGAACATGTGCCAGTTTTTAACTTCCAAATTACATACCCTTTCCATGCAATGGCTGCTGCAGCTTCTAGTGGCGTCATTGAATTTGCACAGTTCTCTCCTTCCGCCTTAGCAGTGCCCACCTGTGTCCTGACTGAAATGCTTCACAAGAACAAACCTTATTTGCCTCAAACTACTCACAAGCAAACATTAAAAAGCTAGATGTACAACACAAGCCGAGTAGCAACATTTTACAGTTAGCTGTGAATGAAAAAGCTGAAAATTTTAGGAATAACATGTATTATGACTGCTAACAGGATGTTCTGAATTATCTCCATAGTAGTTCATGACCCCTGCTTTCTGCTCCCCACTGCTTTTTGCAGGGAGCAGAAAGCAGGGGTTTCCTTGCAAAAAGCAGCAGGGAGCAGAAAGCAGTGGTCGAAATAGCTCTGAGCCATTTAAATCACTGCTTTCTGCTTTTCACGAACCGCCACAAACTGCCTTAAAATTCGCTGAAGTGCATGGTGGCAGTTCAGTTTGCGAACTTCAGTTTGCGAACCGCGAACCAGCCAAAATTCATCATCAACTTACGCTCATGAACCAGTTCATGCCTGCCCCTACTTTTAAGCTGTAAAGCTTGGGAGCAATTTACACAACTTCCACATTTGAAATGTCCCTCAGGGGGTTCACAGTGTATTCCTGAACCCTAATATCAATGTGGCAGGGCATCTCCAGTCCGGAATTTATTTATTTGTTTTCTAAATTTGATGTTGGCCCCCATCTTATGGAGGTCAGGAAGGCACCCACTTGCCTGGCCTCCTGCAAACTATTCAAAACTGAATTATTTAAGAGGGTCACTGGGGGTTGCACTGTACAAAATGATTCACCAAATTGCTTGGAAGAATTATTAGGGACTAGGATCCTGCTATGGAATTTCGTGGTCATTTACAGTGTAATCCTAGGAAGAGTTACATCCTTATAAACCAGGGATCCCCAACATGGTGCCCGTGGATGCCGTGGTACTTGCCAACACATTTTATGGTGCCCGCCAAGGGTTTTTAGGAAGTAGGTAGGGCTTTTGCGCAACAAGGCTTCTGATTGGCTGTGAGAGATTTGATCAGCTGTGCAGATTTTTTAAAAAATGTTACTTTGCCACCACAAAGTATTGTTGATCTACAACAATACTCATATACACTCACACAACCATTCACAACTATCTCATAACTCCCTTAAGGTTCACATAGCAACTTAAAACCACTAATGTCACCCAAATTCCAATTTCATACAGCAATTTCAGTGGGAATAGTTTACATAATACATAATAATGTAAATAATAATGTTAAGCTGTGGCAATCATTTTTGTGGCTGCCATTTTGTTGCTGTGAACCCTCCCCCAAGGGGATGTCAGAATTCCACATGTGTCCGAAGGACAAAAAGGCTAGGGAGCCATGCTCTAAACCAGAGGTGTTGAACTCATTTGTTATGAGGGCCGGATCTGACATAAATGCGAGCTTGTTGGGCCAGGCCACGTGTGTCATAAAATGTAATGCCAGATAGCGGAGATATAGCTAGCTGCACAGAAAGTCTCCGCCAAGAAAGTTCTTAGCTATTTGGGAGAGGCAGGACCAACTGATTTCCCCACAAAAGAACAGACTGCAGTTGCTGTCAATGGCACAGGAGAGCCCGTTTGCAGGACATCTGGGAATGGCTAGAACCACGCACAGACTGACCCGGACTTTTTTTGGCTTGGGATAGGACGAAACGTTTACTTTAACGAAATTCCCCGGACTATGCTTCCATTTCGTACTGTACTTCTTCTGAATGTAGTCAGGTAAACAAAATCTGTGTCCTCCAGTTATTCATTCATTATAGATTGCAGTCATTCAGAAAAATATTCAAGACGGTCCTCATCCATTGTTCTAAGTAACTCTCAAAGACGGGCAGGCTGACAGAGGTACATTCAGAAGAAGTACAGTACGAAACGGAAGCATACTCCAGGGTATTTCGTCAACGTCAACATCTTCTTATGATTCTTTAAAAAGGACTCTTTGAACAATATTTATCTGCTTTGATATACTGTGACATTTGTGTGTGTTAATATATTTACACTTTGCAGCGCTCTGTGTGGCAGCTTCTTTGTGTTTTTTGCAATAGTTTCTTGTAGCTGTGACCTTCGCTTTTTGTTCATAGGACAAACCATGGCAGACTTCTGCAGAATATTCCATTCATTTATTTTATAACCTGCCCTCCCCTGTGCGACAGGGCTCAGGGCGGGTAATAACACTTCCAATATACAGATACAAATTAAAACAGTTAAAACGATCTTAACAATTAAGCAACAGCTTACGGATGATGCATACAATACAGGTTAGTGTCATTCCCCAGTGGGGAGAGAAGGAAAGAGGGGGAAGCCAGGCTAGATAGAAACCCGTTGCTGTCCTCAACCATAGGCCTGGCGGAACTTCTCTGTCCTGTGGGCCCTGCGGAACTGTCCCACAGGGTGTGGATGTCATTTAGTTCCACCAGGCCAGCGCCTGGGCCAAAAAAGCCCTGGCTGTGGTTGAGGATACTTTTTGGGCCAGGGATCACCAGCGATTTCTTTTTGCCTGAGCGTAATACTCTTTGGGGAATGTACCAGGAGAGGTGATCCCGTAAATACATTGGCCATTTAGGGCCTTAAAGGTTAATACCAGAACCTTGAACCTGATCCAGTATGCAACCTGGAGCCAGTACAGCTGGTGCCCCTGACCTTACGGCTTTTAGGGTTCTTTGGGGATTTGGTTGGCTATGATAAGCAGTCCATCCCTAGTTTTAGAAGCATCACAGATCCATCGTCTGCCCTGAATAAAAAGGCTCTACCAGACGCTGTGAATCGGATGGCAACTAAGCAAAAGAAGTATTCTGTCAGAGAATTTTTCAATCGTAATTCTAAATCGGTGATTTATGCTACCAAATGCCCTTGTGATCTCCTACTAGAGCTGTGAAGATCAGACTAGGAGAGCACAGATGCTGTATCGGGTTGCAGAGGAGGAATGCTCCGGTTGATTCAACATTTTTACGTCATCAGGTCATACTGATGACTGAGAGCCAGTTTGGTGTCATGGTTAAGTGCGGAGACTCTAATTTGGGAGGACCGGATTTGATTCCTCACTCCTGCACTTGCAGCTGCTGGATGACCTTGGGCAAGCCATAGTTCTGGCACAGCTGTTCTTGAAAAAGAGCAGTTTCTCTCAGAGTTCTCTCAGCCCCACCGACCTCACAGGGTGTCTGTTGTGGGGAGGGGAAGGAAAAGGAGTTTGTAAGCCGCTCTGAGACTCCTTTGGATAGAGAAGGGCGGGGTATAAATCCAATCTCCTCTTCTTCTACTGATAAGCACCTGCATTTCTGTGTCTTGAAACAAGTCCAAGCTCCCAGCCTGCAGCTTGCACAGTGTTTAAGGGCCAAAGAGGCATACTGGATTAATGCTTTAAAGACCTTAACCCCACATGGCTCGTGTAATAATTCCACAAGCACACCAAAGTTTTACTGGAACAAAAGCAGGGCGTTTCCTGGCCTCTGCTTGGACAAACACTAACAGCTAACAGCCAGAAGATAAAGTGAAACCTAGCTACAGCACAAGCTTTTTGGCCCTAAGGGATCAGGGGGAAATGACTAAACAGTTCAACAAGGGAACATCACCAAATTCACAACTTGCCACGATATAACAACACCCCTCTTCCTTTACGACTCAGCAGGGCTATTTTTGGGCAGGAAAGCACAGGAACGGAGTTCCGGCTGGCTCCCGAGTTGGCCACGCCCAGCAGGAACTCATTAGCATAACAGGCCACACCCAACAGCAGGAACTCATTAGGATTGGCTATATTAGGGGTGTGTGGCCTAACATGCAAAGGAGTTCCTGCTACAAAAAATTCCCTGGGTTTTGACAACAAACAAGGTGAACAGAATAAGAAGCAAAAGGTGGGTGTGGCTGGATGACCAGACTTCTGGTAACATGGGGGGGTGTCCTAATGTGCTAATGAGCAGTGCTGTCAGGGTGTGGCCTAATATGCTAATGAGTTCCTGCTGTTGGGTGTGGCCTATTATGCTAATGAGTTCCTGCTGGGCTTTTTCTACAAAAAGAGCCCTGGCAGTATAGAGTTGCTATAGATTTTCCGGGTTGTGTGGCCGTGGTCTTTGGTGTGTTTAGCCATCACTTCCACAATATTTTTCTTTCTCTAGAATAACTTTTCGTTTTCCTGCATAGTTGGCAAAGAGCAAATATGTAAGAGCAAACATGATTATATATATATATATATATGAGTAAGCTGTACAATATTTTGCACTTAGCCAGAGGCCCACTGTCTTGCAAAGCTTCCGTTTTCCAGCTAATTGCCACTTTCACTCTGGGTTTGCCTGGCTTGGGTTCCTCTTTCTTAGTTCCTATTTCTTAGCTTTATAATAAGCATACTTAATCGATTGGCTTCAAGCAATATATTTCTTAATGCAATATAAAGCAAAGTATTTCTGGGTGCCCCTTAAGATTTTCTGTCAGAAGTCCTTATTTGTTTCATTTCTTACAATTCCCTCCACTCAGAAAACCCCATCACCCATATAAAGCATCAAATCTAGCTTGCATAATTTCACA